GGGGGTGACGGGAGGGGTGCAGGGGCTGGAGGGCTGGGGTGGGGTGGCGATTGGGGTGAAGGGAAGGGAAATGATGGGATGGGTTCAGCGCTATGGTAGGCAGATCAGACTCAAGGGCACCTGCCTTAAGAATGGAAGGTGGGCGGGCTGCGATTGATATGTAGCAGGGGTGTTGGGGTTGGTTTTTGAAGGCGGGGTGCGGAGGCCTGATCGCATGGAAACCCCTGGCACAGCTCCTGGGCAGCCGCCCCCCCGCCCCTCCCTGGGTGGGGCCCCCACCTGTCGGCGCTGTTGAAGAGCAGGAGGATGACGGCGTTGTACGTGCTGACCGTCAGCTCATGCTTGCGGCTGCCAAACTGTGTTTGTGTGTGTGTGTGTGTGTGTGTGTGTGTGTGACTGACGGGGGGTGGCATGGGCTCAGGGAGTTGCACGGGGGAGGGTGCAGGCGCGGCGGCGTCAAGGCCAGATGGGCGAAAGCGCGGCTGCGATGCAAATCGCGAATCTCACCAGGCAACGGCTGCCGTTGCAGTCGGCCGCGTTTGCCCAGCGCCGTTCAAGCCTCAGGTGAGCCCGCACCATCCTCCGCTCCGCTCACAATGACATCACCATGACGTCACTGCCCCTCGTCCCACCCGTCCCCGCCCACCCCCTCCCCCACCTGTGCGCGCAGGTCCACGTTGCCCATGTTGAGCTGCCACGTGAGGCGCCGCCCGCTGTGGGCCGCCAGGTAGTACTCCCTGGAAGGCGGGCGGACAGTGAGGGGAATGCCGTGAGTGGGTTTCCGGGGGTAGTAAGTGTGTGTAAATATGCTCGCGGGCTTGGGGGGGGGTCGATTGAGGTGGCGTCAGGAGGATGGCCGAGGAGTGCCAGGGAGCGGCGCCGTGCTGCCAACACTCGCAAAGGGCTCTGAGGCGCCGGGCAGTGCAGGCAGAAGGGCAGGGCGGCGAGCGGGTGCGCTGGTGCCGCGCTCGCCTGAACTCCTCGCAGCAGCGCTCCATCTCGGCGGGCAGCGCGCACTTGGCGTTGGACTGCGTCGGCCAGCTGCCCGTGGTCAGGACCTGGGGGGTGGCGGCCCCGGGTGGTGGGGGGGACGGGAATCAGCCAAAAGGGAGCGAGGGGAAGTATCGAGGGGAGTGAGGGGGGAAGGCGCGACGGCAGGCGCGGGCTCACGAGCGCATTACCCTGGTGACGACATGACGTGGGCCCTGCCGGCAACCGGGGGGCGAGCCCCCCTCCATCCACCTCCACTTTGGACCTCCCTCCACCCCTCCCACCTCGAGTCACACGCAGCACCTTCCCGGGCCGCCCCACCACACACGCAAACCCGCATCGCTCCGCTCTCTACTCCTCAGCATCCTCATTTCCCCGCAACATACATCCAAAGACTGGCCCAAACGGCATGTGGCTCTGCTCCCCATACCAGCCCCCCTCACATCGCCGTCGCAATCCCAACCACCCGGCCACCCAGCCACTGCAGCCACCCCCACCCAGCCACCCGGTTACACACCTGCACCGTGAGGTCCAGCCCCAGGTCCGCGCTCTTCTCAGTCAGCCGCTGCCGGAAGTCGTCAAGGGTGTCCCTGGGGGGGGGGGGCGAGAACAAGGCGTGCACGCTGCTTTCAGCAAGGGCACGCCACGACCCTGGTGTCCAGCGGACCCGCGGCGGGACTTCTAGGCGCTGTAGGGCAGGCTGCCGGCGCTTGGCGGCTTAGGCCCGTCCCCCTCTGACAGTGGCCCCGCCCCTGAGGGCCCACCTGCTGGTCTTGATGTCTGTGAACATCGACTCCAGCTTGGACGTGAACTGGTAGCCACACCTGGGCAGCAGGGAATGGGTGCGGTAGGAGGGGTGGGTCTGAGGAGGGGGCCTCGACAGGTGTGTCTTGTGCGGCACGGGGGCAGCCAGCCGGCGTCGACTGATTGCCCCCGCTTAAGACTGCCAACCCTGGCGTGCCTCCATGTACCCCCTCCTCCGCTAGGGTGCCACCGCGGCATGCGACGTCACGCTGACGTCATCAGCGTTGAGCCGCGCCCCCAGCTTACTCTGTCTTGAGCTTGACCAGCATCCCCCGCTCCGCGTCGTCGCTGACGGTCCTGCCGCCCAGCAGCCGCTTGGCCAGGTGCTGCTTGTAGTACTTCTCGAACACGTCCTTCTCCTGCAGATACCTGGGGGCGGTTGCGGGCGGTTGGGGGGCGGTTGCGTGGTGGTTGAGCAGATATTGGAGAGACAGGGGTTGGGCGGTGGTCGGGCACTATGGACGTTGGGGGTGGGGGTTGGCCTGCGCTGCGGCGCGGGAGCTGGGGGCGTTTGAAGGGCGGTCAAAAGTGGCGGTGTGGGAGTCCGCGCTAGTGGCGACTTTGACGTGCATGAGGGAAACGGGTCGTCACACACGAATGCTGGATGCAGCATGCACTCCCAGACGCGCAGGGGGCGCACACACACACACACTCTCTCTCTCTCTCTCTCTCTCTCTCTCTCTCTTGGCAACACAATCAAGGTATGACATACGACTTACAAATCGAGCCCCTGCCCACCTGAACAGCGCCATGGTCTTGTCCAGCACGGCCTCCACGTCAGCGTCGCTCGCGCCCTTGAGCCCCTTGCGCAGCCTGTCGTCGATGAAAAGGCTGATGTACTCGGGGGAGCGCGGGTTCAGGTTGATGAAGTGCTCAAAAGCCTGGTCAGGGGGGGGCGGCGTGGGTTCGTGAAGGGGGCCACGGGTTGGGCCGCATACAGCGTTGTCTGGGAACAGAAACCACAGGTGAAGGAACGAGGGGTGCCGAGGCCCAGGCCACGCCCGGCCCCTCTCGGGCGGCTGGCAGAACGGCGGACCCTCTGCCTGTGCCAGTGGCAGAAGGCACGCCCCCCCCCACCCCACCCCATCAACCCGCTCCTGCCGTGCCTCATCAATGCTCCGATCGCCCCTCCATCGCACCTGCCCTGACCGCTTCAAGGCCCCTTGACCCCCCTCCTCACATCCCCTCCGGTCGCCCCCACCCACACACACACACACATACACACATATACACACACGTACACACACACACACACACACAACCCCAACCCAATCGTTGCACCCCCAGCCCCACCTGGTTGAGTGCGTTCCTGAAGGTCTTGTCGTCCGCCAGGCCGCGCGCCACCAGGGCCTCAAACTTGTCCCGCTCCTCCAGCAGCCGCGACACCCAGCTGTGTGGGGGGGGGGGCGAGCGGTGGTTTGTTCATGTGAGGAGCAGAGGGCGTCGGTCGATGGCGCAGACGGTCTGCTTTGCTGTGCGCATAGGAAAGCCAGAATGTTGACACAAACACATGCTGATCAATGGAGAGGAGGGGAACGATGAGTAGTCAGCAGAGCGACGGCGTGGCGTTCCTCTGTGGTGTTGCAACAGGGCACTTTGAAAGACCCCGTTCACCAGAAGCCCCCCTTCTCGCCATCTCAGCCCCGTACCCTTTGCCCCGCGATCCCCAGGCCGCCCCGCCTCACCCTATGGGGTCCTTCTGCCGCTCCGGGTCCATCACCAGCTGCCGCCCCGACTCCTTCACGTGGTCACACATCACCTGGGGCCACGTAAAGGGCGGAGGGGGGGGCAGGGGGGGACAAGGTCGAGAGGAGCGGGCTGAATCTTGATGGAATTCCAGCCGCCACAGCCCGCCGCTGCATTCAGCAAAAGGTCACCTTCACATCACTTTCTCAGCCCCGCACTCGACACACACGCACGCACGACATAAAAATCGCATTGCACGCGTGCACACCCACTCCCTCACTGCAACACCACGGGAGACGCAGCCCGCCCCCTCACCTGCCGCATCAGTCCCGGCCCCCCCTCCACCCTCTTGAGCAGGCCGTACATGCGCCCCAGGTCCTCGTACTTGTCGCCCTCCAGCATCGCCACCAGCCCGCTGCCCTCCATGTCCACCAGGGCGCGCATCTGGTGGGACGCCGTAATGATTTTTTTTGTGTGTATGCGTGTGTGCGCGCGCGCGCGCGCGCGCGCGCGTGTGTGTGTGTGTGTGTGTGTGTGTGTGTGTGTGTGTGTGTGTGTGTGTGTGTTGTGTGTGTGTGTGCGCGCGCGCGCGAGAGCTCTCGTGCGTGAGTGTGCGTGCGCGCGTGCACACAGGCACCAGGGCGCGCTTGTGTCAATGAGGGGTAAGTGTGTGTGGTTGAAAGCCAAGAGATTGGCTCAACGCCTGGCTGCAAAAGGGGCACCTTGAGGCTATCCAGACCGCAGCAGCCAAGCTCAGATCGCACCCACCTGCTCGCGGATGAGCTCGTTCTCCACGACCCGCGTGATCTTGGCCTCTGTCGACGCGTCCAGGTAGTGCTTCACGCGGTCAACCTCCTCCCCCAGCCGGCGCTCCGCCTGGCGCCAGCAAGATGACGCGGCGCAGGGCGCACACGGCGTACGGTGAGGGGCCAGGCTACCCATCGTGCGCCTGCCAACGTGCTTTGGAGGCCGCGGCGCAAACAGCAAGCCACCCCTCAAAGCGCACTCGCCTCCCGCACACACATACTTGAGCCATGAATACATGTGAGATCACACCCAAAAGCACACGCTCCCACACAACTGTGTGCGCGCGGACATATGCAGCCACGCCCGCAGACTAAAATTCACCATTCGCACCGCCGGCAGCACCGCCACCTCCGCGCACCTTTCTGAGGTACTGCGGGCAGTCGCAGGACGCCACAAAGGCCTGTGCCTCCTTGGCATAAAAGTCGGCCGCCCCGGCCAGGAACGGCCGCTCAAAGTCCGCCTCGTACACCGCAGGCCCCAGGTCCACCAGCATCTGAGGGAGGCGCATGGGGCCAGGTTGCGTTGGGGGTGATGACAGTCAGTGGGATCATGCTTGGATGCTGCGCTTTGGGTTCTTGCGGATGGAGTCGGGTTGAGCGGTGCTGCTCGTCAGCCTGGTTGCGAACGACATGCGGCCTGGACTCGGGTGGGTTATGCTCTTGAAGTCGCCGCGGGGCCTGGTGTGGCGTCGCGTACGTCTGGCGCTGCGGGCGCGCTGCAAGGCCCGGTGCCTCCGATGAAAAGCTGAGGGTTGGCGGCGTGAGCGGTCGGCGCAACCCCAGGAACCCTTGGCTCGCCGCACCTGCGTTGTGGCGCGCAGCAGGCTGCGCTCGATGACCTCCCCGGCGCGCTCCCGGCTGATCAGGTCGTTCAAAGTTGCCAGCATGCGCTGCGGGGGAGGTTTTGGGGGAGGGGAGCCGGTGTACGAGCGCGTCTCAGGTGTAAATAGGTAGGGATGAGGGCCAGCCGACGGACGGCAGCCACAAGGGACGCCAGGGCCGCAGGGATGACGATCAGATGCAAGCCGCGAAGGCCCCGTGCCCCGGCAGCCGCGCGCCTTGCATCAATGAGCCATGGCAGCGTGCACTTGCATGTACGCATGCACGCGCGCGCGCACACGCGTGCGCATTCACAAACACACACACACACGCGCGCGCGCGCACACTCACACAGCGGCGCCCAGCCGCGTCCTGCCGCCAGCCTGCCGCCCCTCACCTGCTGTATCGTGGCGTTGTGCACCACGTGATCGCGCCACAGGTCCAGCCCCAGCTGGAACACCGGGGTCTTGTGCTGCTGGGTCACGTAGGTGCGGTCCATGTACTGGTGGGGAGGCAGTGCATATGGAGGGGTGTGTGTGTGGAATGTAAGTATGAGTGAGAATGGGTAATACACAGGGCGGGCAAAAGCACGGCATGGGCGAGGAGGGGCGTGCCGCTGGGTGCAGGGTTGTGGGCGCGTTGGCAGCCCAGGGCCGCTCAGGGTGTTGTGGGGCCAGGGGCTACGCAGGCTGCGAGAACGGCACGTATAAACATCTTCCAACGCGCCACTCCTCCCGCCCGCTGCCCCTTCGCGCCCTCAACCCCGCGCTCAGCTGCCCCTCAACCCCGTCCCCAATCACACACACACACACACACACACACACACACACCATGAGGATGTCGCGGATCATCTGCGTGCTCTTGATGTGGTCGTCCCACCGCGCCTTGAGCTCCTTGAGGAACGACTCACCCTGTTGGGCCAGGGAGTGGGAGGGGTTTCTGGCAACGCCGGGCATGGTGGGGCCGCCGCCACACAGCCGCACCGCCGGGAGTTCACTGCTTGACGACCCTCGTGTGTCCCCACGCGCTGTCCCCCGCTTAAACAACAGCCGCCACGGGCGCGCCTTCAGCGCCTGCGCACCTGCGCAGCCTCGACGCGGCCGGCTATGGTCTGCAGCTGCCGCGTGAGCGCCTGTGCGACGCCGTTGTACAGCCGGTCCCCGTACTTGTGCAGTACCATGTTGTACGCATTCCTGAGGGCACCAGGGAAGCCCGATGGACAAGGATGGGAGCGCGCGCGCAGTCGTGACGATTCGCTGCCCGTGCCACGCCAGGCTCGCCGCGCAGCCGCCTCTGCCTGGGGTACAGGGCCGCCTGCCCGCCGCTGTTCACACGCACCTGTACAGCTCCTCAAAGCTGAGCCCACTGGCGTTCTGGTTGTGGATCTCGCGAATGGCGTCCTCCAAGACTTTCCACGTCTTGTCTGCGATGCAGGCAGACGGGCACAGCGGACCATTGAGCCGGATTGCAGGCATGGGTCCTGTCCGTCGGGGGCCGCTGCTGCAGGCAGGGGTGCGCAAGGCATTGCGGGGCGTCCAGCGCTGTATTGTCGCTGCAGACCTGCGTAATTTGGATCCATTGTGATCGGGTGCTTGAAAGGTTCTATTTTCAGGCCCTGCGGGGGGCAGACAAGGGGGAGCACGGTGCAGCGGGTCCATGCAAAGCGCGGAGTCGTCGCGCCGCGCGGCGTGCATGGCGCCGCACCGCCTACAGCTGCCAGGCCAGGCCTGATCCAATAGCGCGGAAGCTGCTAGTCCCTGTCCTGCTGCAAATTGGGAGGGCACCAGGTGCACAAAAGGCTCGACCGCTCACCAGGCCTCGGCCCAGGCCCCTGCCCGCCATCCTGGAAAGCAGTGGCTCTAGAGGCAGCGCCACTTAGCCTCTTCTACATGCACCCAGGCAAAAGTGTCCTCCTCCAGATCACTTGAATCCAACACACGCGAGCTGTGCGGGCTATCAGCACAGCAAAGCCCGGACAAGGCTGGAGTAGAAGCGAAAGATCCGATGAAGCGTGTAGAACCGTTGCTGCGGCCTGCATTGCAATAAGGTAATCCAGTGCTCGAGCGGCACCCGCTGCGGTCATCAGTCATGCTTGCATGGTGCGGTTTGGCTCCAACGTGGCAAATGTCAGGCATCATACATGCTGGAAGAGGTGGCCAGCACAGTACGCTAGAAAGGGATGGATCCAACAGTAGCGACAGTCCGCCGAGGCGCATGGTCAGCGCCACGACCATTGACTTGAGCTCCACCCAACCGCATGTGCAAGTAGGCTGCGCGCTTGTCCTCCCCTATAGCACGCAAATGTGTGGTTTTCAAAGGCCTGAATCTAAACAATGGAACGCATCCCCTCACCCAGATTTCCTGATTTTGTCCTCAGGACTCGAGGACCTTGCCTCCGAGGACAAATCCATGACGCAAACCCCGCAATTCATCTCCAGTGTCAGTCCCTCCTGCCCTGCCTCACAATTCCTTGCAGGGATTGCTTGCGCTTTGCGGCTTGCAGCGTGCCATCTTGTTTTTATAAACTGCACTTGCCGCGGTGTGCCGAGGACGGCTGGACAACTGCCTAGTGCTGGCTGCAGTTGTTTGAGTGCAGCACTGGCTGGTTCCTTCTACCACTCTGAATGCAGCTGGTATTTGGGGTGAAGATGAACGGGGTGTTCAGGCATGCTCCGCTGGGCAGCGTTGTGCATGTGAGTGTGAGCCGCGCTGCACTTGGCAGACTGGCCCTGTTTCTGTTGACGGACACCTGCATAGGCCTAGGGGTGTCCCTCGACACGTCGACAGTGGGTAGGTGTCAGCTGCGCCGCTGGCACCCACCCACGCTTCATGGCACGGCTGGGCTTGGCGCAGGAGGGGGACACCTTTGCGCATGAGGCTGGTAAGGAAGCGTTTCGTGTTGTGGCTGGCTGCATGTGCCATTCAATGTGCACAGAAAGCCTGTTTTGAGTTAATGTGAAACTACTCGTAGTCGAGTGAGGTAATTCAACGCCCTTGGGAAAAGCTGCCCCTCATTGGTTAGCTAGCCACCCCAGTCACATGCGTGTGCTGCAGGGATGCACGACTGAGAGCCTGTTGCGACTCGTCATCCAAGGGGAATGCCTTTGGCACTGTCAGTGCGGCTGGACTCATCCCTGGTCGGGCGTGCCGCCTCACACAGTGGCGCGGAAGCATCGCACGCAGCCGCTATTGTGAGCATGGAAACGGCTTGCAGTGTGCAAGATCGATCAGCGCGCTGGATGCGGGTGTGTACCATTCATGCCCACACTTTGTGGCGCCGTCCACTGGGTGTTGAAAAAAGGATCCTCATTACAGTATGTGTCAAGGTGAGTGCCTGGCAGCTGCGTTCGTAGCAAATGTCCGTCAAGTGCATGCCACTTGCGTTGACCCGCGGACGCAGCTTGGGAGATAAGACGGCGGCCAGCTGCGACTTTTGAAGCATCTAGAAAACGCGTGAATACTCAAGCAAACGGCTCAACCCCTGCTGCTGCTGCTGCTGCTGCTGCTGCTGCTGCTGCTGCTGCTGCTGCTGCTGCTGCGGGTGCTGCTGCTGCTGCTGCTTCTGCTGCTGCTTCTGCTGCTGCTGCTGTCCTAGCTCGCATAGGCATGCGTGCGTCTGCCATCGGCGGGGCACAGCCCGCCTTCACAACTGGCTTGCGGGGTGCACGGCCCCCTGGCTGCTGCTCATGTGCGGAAGCAAACCCCAGACACCACCATCAATGCACGCACAACATCAGCGTCCACGCAGCAACAAGGGTACGCATCCAGCGGGTTTTGCTTGTACGACTGCTGCTCAACGATCAATGCGCAGGTTTGGCAGCTGGTGCTGCGGCAGTTCTGCTGCGGCTGCTGCTATCATGCGTCCGGATGATCGGGTGGTGTCTGTGACTGCTGTAGCCCTGCCTCCGTCCGTCATGAAGCTCTGCCCGCTCTTTGCCGCCGCGCTGCGGTGCTGTTGCCTGCACCGCTCCGGCTCGGTTTACGGTACCAGTACCGTATCATTTGAGCTGCTCGCAGCTTATTGTCAGTGCTCCTCAGCGAACTACTACATTTTGTAATTACATCGTGCTTCAGCGCACACATGAACCCGGTTTCCAGTGATCTGGTGTGATCTGTGCAGTAAATTTGAATTTGTGGACGATGAAGCTCCGACTTTGTAGAAGCAACCTTGTCTTGCTTGGCGGACACCCACAATAATGACGTCACACTCACCTGTGTGGCCCTTCTGCAGGGCAGCAGCAGCGCCCGGCAGTAGTAGGGGTGCTGACGACACCTGCGCCCTGCCGCCCCTGCTGGCCCAGGCATTCGCCCTGCGTCTGCTACGCGAGCTGCTCGACCCCCATGATTTGCGTCAAATACGTGTCGTGGACCGCGCTGCTAGGGCATTCGTCGACACGCACGTCGAGGCTCTGCAGGTCGCCGGCGCTCGCCAGCTGCGCGCGCTCAACTCCGCCGCCGCACACGGCCGCCTGCCGGCTTTGCGGGAGCTCACGTTTGCAACGCGGGTCTACAGCGACTGCTACGATGTCCCGGACGGCGCGGAGCATCTCGCTGCATCGATCGAGGAGGTGGCGGCACTTGGTGATGCGCTGCAGTGCCTAACGTCGCTGACGCACCTGCAGTTGCTGCTGCCGGAGGGCAACCCCAGCCTGCATCCAGCCACGACGGCGCTGGCGCAGCTGCAGGGGCTTCGCCGGCTGGTGGTGGTCAGGGACAGCGAGGACTGCGCCTTTCTGGCAGCCGCCGCGCAGCTGCCAGCGCTCGAGGTGCTTGCGAGCTCTGACACGGGCGGCGATATCTTTGCCACCGACACTGTGTTGCGGCGGGCTAATCGGCCGTGGTTGCAGCTGAAGGTGCGTGTCAGGGCCCGGCTGGGGCAAACCCGTGCCAGCTGGTACGGCGGCTCCCTGTCAGGCCCACCTCATTCCAGCCCCTAAATGCCACATTACCTGCTCCCTCAGCTGTCGCGGCCACGAGTTCAGGTGGCCCCTGATGCCACAACATGCGCACACGCACATTGCAGACCCTGGAGCTGACAGCACTTTCCCTGCACGAAATCAAGGTTGGTCTGGCAGTCTGTGGCCAGCGTGCCCGTCACATCGTGCAGTGCAGCGATTGAGTTGCGTTCCAAGTGCGATTTGTGAACGACTGGGATGGCCCATGCCATATCCGCCGTGATGAAGCCAAGAGTGTGGTGCGGCGGCCGCGTGACGTGGCATCTTCAGCCAAACCCCGCCTGACCTCCCACGCGTTGCGCCATGTGCGACCACCCGGGTGCGCAGGTGCTGTCGCGCCACCTGACGCCACACGTGCAGCGCCTGCGTCTGAACGCCAGCAGCGAGGGCCTCCGCAGGCGCGACCCCACCGCCAACGACACTTGCGGCCTGCTAATCCTGCTGTCCGCGCCCTGGGCGCGCCGGCTTCGGGGGGTTGCGCTTTTCAATTGCCGCCTGGGCGGCATGATGCTCACTGGGGCGGCTGGCCTGGACCTCCCCGAGCTGGAGGAGCTGTCGCTGGGCGGCGCCGGGCTTGGGGATTACGCGGTGGGGGAGCTGCTGGCGGGCCGCATGCCTGCACTGCGGTCGCTCGATCTGAGGGGAAACCGCCTGACGGACCGCGGCGTTCCCGCGGTGCTGTCGTCGTGCGGGTGCTTGGAGCGTTTGGAAGAGCTCGAGCTGGGGAGCAACAAGCTGACCGACGCAGGCGTGGCAGCGCTGGCGCGCGCGCCGCTGCATGCGCTGCGCCGCCTCGGCCTCGCGCGCCAGCGGGGCGCCCCCGGCGGCGGCGGCGGCAGCGCGCTGACGGATGCGGCGGTCGCCGCGGTGGCAGGCGCGGCGTGGGCGCCGCAGCTTGCTGAGCTGGACCTCTCGAGGAACGAAGGCCTGGGCCGCGACCTGGGTCCATGGGCGGCGCTCGCGGCGGCGCCGCTCGCGGGCGCTCTGCGGCGGCTCAGCGTTGCGGGATGCAGCGGCGTGGGCGCGGGTGTTGGGGAGGTGCTGACGGGCGCGGCGTGGCTGAAGCGGCTGCAAAATCTGGACCTGTTTGGAACAGACGAGGGCGCCCTGCATGCGCTGCGTGCGTCGGCCGCGTTTGTGTGCCTGGAGGCTGCAGGCGGAGTGCACCTGTGAGCTGGGTCCCTTAATCCTGGCCCTGTTTGAAACTGAGACACTGTCCGTTGTACACAGAGCTGTTTTGACACAATTGCTATCCACGGAACCCACGAATAGCTTCAGCAAGCATGAATATTGAATGCATCCCCTTGCTGCACATTTCCAACGCTTGTGGCTTTCATAACATCACAAGCACCTTCCGCACTTTAATGTGTGTTCAAATGGAAGCATGTGCGTGTGTCTTCCTGAACTTCTTGTGCCCGAATGGAAGCCGTGTTATGCATGTCTGAATTGCGCCTGGTGTCCTGCTCCTACGGGGCGACGGTGAGGAATAATGCAAGCATCCAAGGGCGGGCGTTGACTCACAGGGGCTGTGATGGTCAAACATGGTGGATGCGTTCAAGTGGCGCACATGCCCACGCTTTAGCATGGTCCTACTTAGGAGCCATATGTTCATGTCAAGGACTCCAGCTATTAGGAGGCCTTGGACGCCTTTCTCGTGCGCTGACGCGACCGCGTTTCCGGGTCGGGTGTGTGCACTGCTCACTTTGCGGTCAGCGGAGGCTGCCCTCAAGCCAGGCCTACCGTACGCTGACAGTCATATGTGATCGGCATGTAATTTTGATAACACTAAGCACCTATATCTCAACAATGGACGAGAGCAGCAGTGGAGGCTTCGCGTTTCGTGGGGCTCCTAATAGCGCGCCGGACGGCTTTCTTCGTCCAGCAAGCAGTATTAAAGAGCTGAAGGTGGGTTGCTAGTCCGGGCACGACGCAGATTGCCTTGCGTGTTGCCGAAGTGCTCCCCATCATGAAGGTTTCTTGGGGCTGCGTATGCCATGCTGACGGTCAGGGTACATTACATGCCCAAGGAAAGCTGATGGGACTATCGCGCGCCCTGGGCCTGGCGCAATGCTGCGCGGGCGCCGCCTCCGCTGGATGCGCTCTCTATTGCAAGCGCACCACTGTCTATTGTTGGGCAGCAGTTTTCCTGTCACTCTTGGCTTAGTGTCGCTCGGCAGGTCGGCTAAGGCAGGTCCAAGCAGCAGCATCTTGCTGAGGTCGCCACTGCACAGCCAACAGGGGATTTTATGCAGGGGCACCCTGCCCTGGAAATGAAAGCAACGCCAGTGACAAGCTAAAAACAGCAGCGACTGAAACTCACGCCGGAGCGACAGCTGCACGCCTGCGCTGGCAGCATGCTCCTCACGGAACACAGCCGCACCTGGGCTGGCCATTGTCAACCCAACCCTCATTCTGCGCTGCTGCACTCTTGCCACCATGACTCTATCGACTCATAGCACATCTCATGCCTCACCAACAGCATTAACACATACACACACACTCTCTCTCACACACACATACACACAGAGCATGCATGCATGCACACACGCACACAGTTACATATGCACGCATGAACACACACACACACATACACACTTCTGTATGTGCACGCTCACACCCCCCCGTTCACAGGAGCTCGTGCGCAAGGTGATCTCCTTCAAAGATCTGCGCCTCGTCAGCACCGACGGCTGCGAGGACTACACGGAGGCTGACCTCTGGGCCGAGCGGCGGCGCTCCAACCCCTCGTCCAATGGCCCCTCCAGCAGCAGCAACATCGACGGTGGGCGTGGCCGTGCGGCAGCGCCGGGTCGGCCGTGCCAAATGAGGCTGCGTAGAGGGTGGCGACTGTACCTCTTGGTGCAAGGCAATCTTGATGCCTGGGTCAGAGGAATCGCGTGATTGCCATTTCGAGCAAGCGGGCGGCCCAAGCCCGTGCTGCCACGCGCCTTGTGCAACAACCCCTTGCCTGCTGTTGCCAAACCCCTGCGCTCGGCGCGTCCCGCCCACGCGCAGCACACATCCCGTCGGGCGTGACAGTGGACAATGGCCGGCTGGCGGTGGTGATGGTGGGGCTGCCCGCGCGCGGCAAGACGTTCCTGTGCAATAAGCTGCTGGCGTACCTCAATTGGTGGGGGCCTCAGCTGCGGTGGTTGGTGTCAGGGCCGCTGCCACCAGGGCTGTGTAGTCTTGACCAGCCTTAAACACGTGCAGGGCGAGGCCTTGACCGCACATGCGCGAGCAGCGCGGATTGCCGGGCTCTGGGGCGTCGGGGGTGGCGGGGAGGGGCGGGTGTGTGTCCAGTGCGGCGGCTCTTATACGCAGCCGGCCCTGGTGCAATCCCTGTGTCGGCCGTTTGAACGGCCCGCGATGGACCCGCGCCCTCGTCCCCTCCCTCAGGCTGGGCCACCCCACGTCGCACTTCAACGTGGGCAACTACCGCCGGAGGCAGCGCGGGGACGAGCGGCAGGATGCGTCCTTCTTCGACCACAACAACGCGGTGAGGGGGTGCGGGGGGTGGCGCGGGGGTGACGTAGGGCAGGTGCGCGGCTCGCATGGGGTCACGCGGGCTGGGGATGTGTTGAGGGGGGGAGGGCATGCAAGGGGGTGTGGTTGCGGCTGGCAGTGGGTAGGGGGCGAGGCTGAGGCGGGCTCGAGGGACCCCGGTCGCTTTGGAGGAGAGGGCGATGCAGTCATGGGCTTGTCAGCAGTTTGGACGCTTGGCGTTTCAACATTGGCGGCGTCCTGCATGGACACCTTGGAGGGGATTGGTGAAGGAGTTGCGCCCGCTTTCAGAAATGGGGGCTCTTGTTTTGACCCACCCACCCACCCCCAGGGGTGCCAACGTTGATACACACAAGCCACCCCACGCCGTGCAACTCGCAGGCGGGCCGTGCGGCGCGCGAGCTGGCGTTCAGGGCTGCGCTGCAGGACATGATCTCGTGCCTGGTGCAGGGTGAGGCCCCCTGCGAAGATTTATTGTTCATGCGGGAGGGGGTGTGTGATTGGACACTGGAAGGGGTGACAGAGGCAGGGGGAGTGCAGCTTGGGCCATGGCGAGTGACAAGCTCGGTGGTTGTCGTCGTGCGCCTCCCTGAACGCGCGCCCACACTTGTCCACATGTACAAAGACCGCTGCCAGGTGGCAATCTATGACGCCACCAACAGCACTTGCGAGCGCCGGGCCGTGCTGGTGAGCTCGGCCGCCTTTGGCTTCTCGACTTGAGCCGCCTGCAGCCGCCATGACAGGGCGGTGCCGAGCCCCTCCACATGCTGCACCCCTCCTTCTCCCCTTCTCCACGTTCCCCACAATTGATCCCCCTTCCATATGCGCACACATCCACAACCACAAACACAAGGCCTGGCTGGCTATTTGTGCATGCACACACACACACACAAACACACACACACACACACATTCTCACTCACACACACATTCTCACTCACACTCACACTCACACACACACACAAACTCACACTGCCATGCATGCTGCGCCTGCTCCGCACGCTCCGTCAAGTCACACGCGCACCCAACCTGGGCCACCCCGCGCCACCCCCAGGCGAGTGAGCTCAAGGCAGCGGGGCTGCGATTCCTGTTCATCGAGTCCATCTGCAACGAGCCGCAGGTGCGACGCGCGCGGCCGCCGTCGCGCGCCGCGCCCGCGCGACGTGCGGCGTCATTGCCGCCACTGGCGACGCGCCCCGCGCCGCGGCGTCGCCGCTGTCGGCACGGCACGACCGCTGCCCTCTTTATGTCAGCGATCGTTTGATCCTTTTTTGCTGCCCGGCAACTTCCCTTGACTTTGATCCCAAATCGCCAGGTGCTGCAGCAGAACTACCTGAACAAGATGCTGTACTCGCCAGACTACCAGGGAGTGGATATGACACAGGTGGGGGGAGGGGACTCCGGAGGTGCATGGCTTTTGATGAGTCGGAGATATTGTGTGTGTGAGCGAGAGAGAGAGTGTGTGTTTGTGCGTGTGTGTGCTGTGTGTGTTTCCGTGCGTGTGTGCGTGCGTGTTTGTGTGTGTGTGTGTGTGTGTGTGCATGTGGGTACATGTCAATGTGGTTTATTGCCACGCACTTCCCAACCAGCATGCATCCGCGGCCCCCCTTCTGGCATGTATGCATACCCCCCCCCCCTTCACTAATTCTCCAACCCATGGTCACACCCCACCATCCAAAAAAGGCCGTCAATGACTTCATGGAGCGCATCCACCGCTACGAGGAGGTGTACGAGCCCATCACAGACAGGGCTACCCACTACATCAAGCTCACAGACATGTGGGGGG